CTAGAGATATTCTTGATTGAGTGTTGAACTGTTTTAGTGGAACCACCTATGACGTCATCACTTATAATACAAAAACATGAATATCTCTAAAACGAAAACAGATATTCCAAAAAGGAAAACGCTATTCTTCTTTACTTTGAAAAGCCTTTCAAATCAGCAGCAATTATTTTTTACTTCATAGGCACTTTAAACTTTTCTAAAAGAGTTAAAAGCGCTAGGGGAGGAGAGGGATTTAATAGCTATGGAAAGCTTGTTCCAACAACAACAACAAAAACGAGAAAGTTTGTCCGCCCCCTCTCTCCCTAGATTGCTTTTCTCTCCTATTATTATTATTATACCGTAGCGTGATGAATATGAAAATTAAATTACGCGTGGGTCTGGATCTACTGCTAAGTTCATTGTTTAATTTAAGTAATTTAAAAAAGCGAATGAAAGCTCTTAACATCGGCTTCTAATGTAGCAAACTAATATTTCAGGTCTCACTCAATAAAGCGAAAAAAAAAACTAATGTTACGTGACCCATTTAAGGTAGCTCTAATAATTATTCTAACTAGCGCTATCTTTTTGTATATAACTGTTGAGAGCTTTCCGAATATTTCTGATTTCAAACACAAAGCCGTTAAATTGTTCACAAAATAGAAAACTTGTTCTACAAACGCGCATGTTACGTGAATAATATAATGTAATATTGTAATAATGTAATATTGATAGAGCAAAGAGTCTTGGCGCAACACATTTCACTGACTGGGAGACCGAATGACTGACTGACTGATTGACTGATTGACTGACTCTCCGGAATGACTTACTAATTAGTTGTCTGACTGGTTAATTGATTGAGGCACTGATTTCGGGCTGAAACTATTAAATAGCCCGAAGTTGCCTGACATGCACGCTGGGTTATATTGTAATGCAAATGACAAAAGTTAATTGTGAAAAGAGCTCTTTAAGATTACCTCGCGAGCTAAGCTTCAGTAAATCAAAACACTCTCAAATATCGCGGAGAGCGGTTCACTTATAACCACACTAAAGCGTGTTAAAATATGCCAGAAATGTGTTGTGAGAGTTAAAGAGGAAATGACTTCACCGCATCAGCGACCTGGCTTTTTCACACACTGCTATCAGTGACATGAAGGATTGATGCGAAAACGGATAATAATTTGAACAAAGTTCTCAACTATAGAATTTGTAATGTTACGCTTTAAGATTCCACACTTGTCA